AAACCCTTCTCACCCCTAAACGCCTTAACCTTATAGAGCACCAAAACCCCGACAGCACCAAATCCTTTTAGACCTCAAACCTTTTTATCCCCCAACCCTTTTAAACCTATTAACCCTCTCACCCCAACCCTCTCACCCCAACCCCCCCACCCCAAACCCTCTCACCCCAACCCTCCCACCTTAACCCTCTCCCGTCTTAGGCCAACGTCTTCGCGTCGCGGCTGGCGTGCTTCCGCTGCAACAGGCATATCTCCCCATATCTCCCCATATCTGCCCATGATTATTAATTAAGCATTGACGTGCTTCCGCTGCAACAGGCATATCTCCCCATATCTCCCCATATCTGCCCATATCTGCCCATGAGTATTATTAAGCATTGTCGTGCTTCCGCTGCAACAGGCATATCTCCCCATATCTCCCCATATCTGCCCATGATTATTAATTAAGCATTGGCGTGCCCCCGCTGCAGCAGGCATATCTCCCCATATCTCCCCATATCTCCCCATGATTGTTAATTAAGCGTTGCCCTGCTCCCGCTGCAACAGGCATATCTCCCCATATCTCCCCATGATTGTTAATTAAGCGTTGCCCTGCTCCCGCTGCAACAGTCCTCGGCCGCCGCACTTGTCCATGGCCTACGCCGGAGGGGCGGCGGGAGGGCTGGCGCCCGCAGGCGGCGGGAGGGGCGAGGTGCGAGATAGACGAGATGTAGACGAGATATGGACGAGATAGACGAGATGTAGACGAGATGCGGACGAGATATGGACGAGATATGGACGAGATGTAGACGAGATATGGACGAGATAGACGAGATGTAGACGAGATGCGGACGAGATGTGGACGAGATATGGACGAGATATGGACGAGATCTAATCCCCACGGTACCCCAACCGACCCATCCCCTACCTCAACGGTACCCGAACCCAGGTGCGGCCGGGCGACTGGACTTGCCCCTCCTGCGGCGTGAACGTGTACTCCACCCGCCACGCCTGCTTCCGCTGCCACACGCCCAAGCCGGCGCACGCGTCTGCGCCGTCCGCCAGCGGGGTCCGGCCAGGCGCGTGGGGGAGATGTGGGGAGATGTGGGGAGAGATGGGGCGTCCGGCCAGGCGGATTGGGCCCTAACCCCACCCCTAACCCTTACCCTAACCCTGACCCTTACCTACCCCTACCCTGACCCTGACCCCTGACCCCTGACCGTGAGCCTCACCTTACCCTAACCCTTACCCTAACCCTAACCCTTACCCTCACCCTGACCCTCACCCTCACCCTGACCCTGACCCTGACCCTGACCCTAAACACGCCCGTCCTGCCAAGTGAAACGACTCGACACGACACAAGAATAGACGATCTCCAATCAGGCGACTGGACTTGCCCGTCCTGCCAAGTCAACGTCTACGCGTCGCGGGACAAGTGCTTCCGCTGCAACCTCCCCAAGCCGCAGCCGGC